AGAAAAAGAAGATGTATGGATTGGATCGATATCTCGCAATTTGTTGACAACAGGCTCTTACCTGAAAAATGTCAAGTTTGTTCGCTTGTAGGCACTAACCTACGAGTGTCAAACCTTTTTCCCCATTTATGGACTAGAAGAAGGAGAAGAAAAAGAAGAATGCGTCGATTGGTTCGATATCTCGCAATTTTCTGACAACAGGCTCTAACCTGTAAAATGTCAAGTTTCTTCACTTGTAGGCACTAACCTACGTGTCAAACCTTTTTTTCTCACTTTTATGGATTCTCGTGAAATGAATTTTTTTCTTCGATTCCGAAGAATTTTGCGAGTTTTTTCATTAGGCTTTAACCTGCTATGAAAGTTACTCATATATTGAATATGAGAAATATGAAACAATATTTAGGACTAACCTATTATTGTCGGTCTGGATTTCCAGATCGTGACCGTTCCAGATATCCCAGAGCGAGATCTTTTAGTTCGGACCGGTGTGTTTCTTCAGTTCCTCCAGATAGGAGTGAACAAGAAGATAACCCGGCAGATGACAGGCAGGCAAGTCAGATGCATCGGGTTTTGCTGGATTCCACGAATCAGTTAACAAATCTACGGAACATCCCTGTCGATGATGTGCTACCGGTAGATTTTAGTGGGCCAGCGATGTTGAACACAGAAGCTGCGTTAAGTTCTGATAATTTAGATATTTTTGGTAAGCATATCTGCGAAAAAAGAGTCTTCGCTCCTCCAGTTCATAAAGATCTGGTGGTACGCTGCGAAGATATTATTAAGGAGGGCCTGTCGGAGGAAATTAGAGTGAAGGTTCTGAAGAAATATCCACCTCCTAACAACTGTACGTCCATTGATCCTCCTAAACTAATTCCTGAGTTCAAATTTGTTGTCAAGGAGTTGGTTCCGAAGAGGGATGATCGTATTCGGAAGAAACAGGAAAAGATTACTGTTTCTTTGGCTCTTGCAATGCAAGCAATGTCTATTGCTGTGAAGGGGAAAGACAATCCTGAAATGCTGTCTTTAGTTAAATATTTGTTCGATTTGAGCCAGCTATTGGCGGATCTGCAGCACGATGAGTCTTTTGTTCGTCGAAGCTTGATATTAGCCAATATCAACGCAATTTGGAAGAGGTGTTGAAAAATGCAAAAACGATGGAAATCTCTTGCAAAGACAGCAATCTTCGAAACAACCAAAAAACTCGAGATTCCCGCCCTGCCAACCTCAAGCCAGGAATTATCCAGCGGCGTCGGACGAGCAGAAGCCGAGGTATCACTTGTTATAAAAAAAGCAGCCGCAATCTTTCCAGAAACCTCGCTACCAGAGACGCGATCGCGATCGGAATCGAGATCGGAAACACTTGAGGAGATGTTAGAGCTTGGTGTAAGCCTTATAGCCTGTACACTCGGTCTCTTTCAAGGTAAATGGCAAGATATAACCACTGACGAAACAGTTTTGTCTTGGTTGAGGGGTTATAAGATCCTTTTTTGCTCGAAAATTAAACAGGTCGTGCTTCCGAGTTTTCGGAATTTCACAATTAACGAAAGATTTAAAATCAGTCAATTAATTGACGAATTAATAGTTAAAGGTGCAGTTGAGACGTGTCAGTCGAGTGAGGGACAATTGTCTCGAGTTATTTTCTAGTTCCTAAACCGGATGGATCCAGTAGATTTGTTCTAAACTTGAAGGCTCTGAATCAGTTTGTTGAAACCACTCATTTTAAACTCGAAGATGATCGAACGGCCTCAAAGTTATTAAGTCCCGATTCTTTCTTGACAACTCTTGATCTTAAGGACGCCTTTTATACAATTCCGATCCATGTATCTCATAGGAAGTATTTGAAATTTATTTTCGATAAGAAGTATTATGAGTTCACGTGTTTGCTTTTTGGCTTGTCAACTGCGCCTTGCGTGTTTACTAAAATCTTAAAACCCGTAGTAGCTTACTTACGCCAGTCGGGTTTAATTTCGGTCATTTATATTAATGACATTCTTTTAATAAGAGAGTCATTTGAGCAATGCTCAATTTATGTAACGAAATCTAGTTTGTTTCTCGAATCTTTAGGTTTTGTCATTAATAAAAAGAAAAGTTAGATGACACCGAAGAAAACTTGTCAATTTCTCGGTTTCGTCTATGATTCCGTTAATATGACAGTTGAATTACCGACGGAAAAGAACCTTCGGCTCAGAAGCGAAATCAGAAAGATCAGAGTAAACCAAGAATATAAGATTACAGATTTCGCTAATCTCGTGGGCACTTTAGTTTCGTACTGTCCAGCGGTAAAGTACGATATGGTTTATACCAAGGCATGCGAGAGGGCTAAATATCTCGCACTTCGTGAAAATAATGATGATTACGAGGGTCTTATAGCTATCACTCGAGGTGTTATGGATGAACTTGAGTGGTGGAAGGCGACTGGTTCGGTGTCTCCTAACTCAATTAGAAATTCGTTGTTCGATCTTGAATTATTTACAGACACCTCGCTCTCAGGCTGGGGAGCTTTTTGCAGAAATACAAACGAGAGAACGCACGGTCACTGGTCGTCGCAAGAGAAAGCTCGACATATACATTTTTTGGCGTTGTCTGTAGCATTCTTTGATTTGTACTCTTTTGCAGATCATTTCTACAATAAACAGATTTTGCTCCGAGTTGATAATACGACCGCGAATTCTTAAATAAACAGAATGGCCGGCGTTCAGTTCGAGAATTTGAATAGATTGTCGAAAGACTTATGGAAGCCTTTTTTCTTTTACGCCTTTCCACCATTCTCGATCATTCTGCGAGTCTTGCAAAAAATTAAGAATGAGAGATCAAACGGTATTGTTGTGGTACCTGAGTGGCCTTCTCAATCGTGGTTCCTTATTTTTCAGTCCCTGTTAATGTCAAAACCGATCAAGTTTAGACCTAATTCGAGTATAGTTGTTTATTCCAACAGGAACAGGTTGAAATTTTGGAAGAACCTTACCCTGGTTCCAAGAGTCTTGTCCGGATGAGCTTCGAGATGAAGGAGGTTCCAAAAGATTTAGTGAAAATATTGTTGGCATCGTTCAGCGACTCATCATGGAGACAATATGATTCCGCTTTCAGGAAATGCTGGTCTTTTTGCCAAACGAGAAAAATCAGCTCGTACTCAAATTCTGTTCCAGATGTTTTAACTTTTCTGACAGAAGCATTTGAAAAGAGAGGTTCTCAAGGGACATTGAAGTCCTACAGATCCGCTATCTCGTTGCTTGTAGGGCCAGAGCTAGCTCAGAATTTTAGGTTAAAAAGATTTTTTAAGGCAATGAGTAGATTGAGGCCGTCGAGGCCTAAGTATAGTTCAACTTGGGATCCGAAGATGATTTGTAAAAAAGTTCTGGGTAAAGTAATGCTTATAAAGGCTCTTTATTACTTTACTTTCGTTTTATCGCCGTAACATGCGTTGAACATCTACAGGTTGATCTCGAGAAAGAGGCGCGTAATACAATTATTTGTTTCAGCAGAGACAAAAGAGAGTTATATACTTTGAGTCCTCGATACAACACATTCAAAATAAAATCCCAATAAGAGTAAATAGCAAACGTGAGAAGAAAAATGGTTTACATAGGTACACCGTCCTACCTTGAAAGATTTGAAGAAAAGAAAAACTGGGTTAAACGATTGATTCCGCGTTCACGCAAAGAGTCTTCATTACCGTTTATTACGAGCCCCCCTCTGAATACCACACGTTGAAGCAGTCGCGACAAAATTCCAATGAGGAGAAAACGTAATCGCGGGAATGGGGGGGGGGGGGGGTTTGCAGTGAAATAGCCAGTCAGGTGAGCGGGCAAAGCAGGTAGAAAAACATCCTTGGCGGTTTCGAAGCGGGCGAGTTCGGGAGGGCTAATCAGGGGCAAAAGAGGAAGACAAGCAGGCGAGCAGGTAGGCAGATAGGCAGGGTAGCAAGGGTAGGAAGAGAGGAAGGAAGGGCGCTTGCGCGGTGATACGGCCGGGCTAGACGCGAGAGCCGCCACTCCCGAGCGCGTAGCGGTGTAGCGCGGGTGCTGACCGAGTGTCCCTGTGAGAAGAGCAAGAGAGAGTGCGACAGCGAGAGAACGGAGAAGAGAGAAGAATGTCCATCGTCGAAGGAAGGATCCCGTGGAAGCGGAGCCTGCGGCAGGGCATCTTCGGCGATCAGGCGGCCCCGACCTTGTAGAACGAACACGGAAACGAGGATTGGATTTCCTACGAAGAGGATCGCTCCAGGCTGTCTCCCTCCTCCGCCGAGCCTCTGTCGTTCCCTGTTCCTCGGAAACATCCCCGATCCCTTTATCCCAGGTGAACTTAAAGGTGAACGAGGAGCTCGTCTCGCCCTAAGCACGGGTCGCCGAGGAGAACGCTCGCGAAACTGTGCCTCGAGGAAGTTCGCGACGGACCCTCGCATCCGACAGCAACCGTCATCGCGAAACCGTCGCTAATCTCTCGGGGCGTGTTGTTGCGGCCGACGTCAAGAAACCACCCCGTGGCCCGCATCGTCGACACGAAGACGACGCGTGACACGAACGAGAAAAAAGGAGAAAGCCCGCATACGCCTACGTCGAGTGTCGTAAGTCGGAGGGGAGAGAGAGAAAGAGATCCGTAGAGGATCTTGTGATAGAGTCGCGGGTGACAAAGCGGAGTGGTCGCTCTCCATTAGCTCGAGAAGGACCCATACCTCTTCCCGAGGCTCGGTCGCGAGAGATCGTGTGAGGTGATTCGATTTCGAGCGGCGATACAGTGTTTCGAAGGGTCGAACGCGAGTGACAGTGAGGGCATAATCGGGTGAAACAGAAGTTGCACCTGACAGACCGAAGCGCGAAGAGAGTAAAAAGCACGGAAAACCGAGGAACGAAAAGCGGACTGAGAGAGCAAGACGGAGGTAGGAGGGCGGGGCGGGTGGGTGGGAGGAGGTAGGGAGGCAGGAGGAGGAGGAGGAGGAGGAGGAGGAGGAGGAGGAGGAGGAGGAGGAGGAGGAGGAGGTGGTGGTGGAGGAAGAAGGGGGGTGGGTGAGACGCGGACGGCACGCAGAGAGACGCCGGGTCAACGCGCCAGGTAACAACGCCTCAGGACACCCGCTGACGTCCTCGTCGAGGTCCTTGTCGTTGTCCTCGTCGACAACGTGAACGGCGACGCGTCGTGGTACCCAAGAACGCGGACGAGCCGTCTCGTTCCATGGATAACATGAAGTCCTTCCACGCCGCCTCCTGGAGCTTCGCCCTCCTCGCGGCCACGGTCGCGTTGCTGCCCGCCACGCATCGTGCCCCGTTCGCCCAAGCCGCGTAAGTACATCTTTCGTTTGACTTTTCTTTCGCTTGTCCTCGATGTGTGTCGTGTTAACCCTGGAAAGCTAACCATGTCGAACGGTTTCGTTAAGACTGACCTGGCTCTCTGTAACACCAGTAGGAAAAAATCAATAAGCATCCGGTAAAATGGAATTTATCGAACAATGCTGCGGTATATGGTTTGCTACGTGTAAACAAGAAAGGATGGGATGACGTCCGAAACTCACCAGGCTCCTATGTTGGGTGCGGGGTGGCTTGGGGAGGATCCTGCATCGATTCGATTTCGATCTTGTTTCGACACGATCCATATCTGTAGGGCTTTGGTAGATCTACATTGGGGAGCATTATGATAGTACCATACATAGTTTAATTCTGTAGTTACGGGTCTATTTAGAATCAGTTCACATCCCAGGAAAGACTTTTCTACATTACTATCTATATCTAGGCTAACATTCATTTTTACATACTGCATTGATACGATGTCTCTTCTGAGAGGACATCGTAAGTACAGGCAAACTTGATTAGTGATTACACAGGGTAAATTTATGGGAGCTTAAAATTTGTAAAAGTGTATGATTATTTCAAGATTTTTATTCAAGTCTCATGAAAAATCAAATCAAAATATGGTACATGTATTAAGATATATATAATAAATATGAGCTTATGTTACATGGAAGAAAAATGTGTGAATAGGCTACACCTCAAAAAAGCGACAAAGAGCATTTGTATAAGAAAGTGAGATGTGGGAACATATTTTGTGTAACATGGTGGAATTTACAACGTACAATTATTACAAACATGAAGTTTACTTGTAATTTATTAAAAGAAGAATATTAAACAAAGTCCTATCTCTAACAAGCTTCGTAGATATAGATTCGTTGTAATAGCCATCTGGTTAATTATTGATTCATTGTAATGGAGATTAGGTTGAGGACTTAGAAGGTCGCCACTGTAAGGTATATCATTAATTTCTACACGTAATATTATAAAATCAATTGCATGAAATTATTATATCCTTTCAGCTCATATAGTTGACCTCTTTTCATTCCTACTCCCCGAAACAATTTTTCAGAAATATAAATCGTGGTATTGTTATGCTCCCCAGTGTATGTTGGTTTCGATTGCTGATAAATTGGTTCCATAGATTGTTCTGTAACGAGGTAAAGTTGCTACTTGAATTCGTGTCGATCCATCCCTTGGCTTCATTAGAGGGAAAGTTCTTGAAAATTGAACAAGATTCCCGTTGCCCACTATTCCGTTAGCGGTGCAAATTAATAAAGAATGGATCCCTGCAGGATTCAACGTGGTGTAAAGGATTCGTATCTGTCCTAGTATCTTCTTAATTTTTGGCTAGAATTTGCTAATTTACACGTTTGATCAAAGGTATCAACACCTCCTGTGGTTTCACTATACAGGTACATTCCAGGCCTCATACCGGGCTCGGTAAATGTATTATACATGTAGGTATACATGTAGGTATACATGGCTAGTGTACGTGGTAGATAGCATAGCTACTAACTTGTTCTCTTTCGGATAGCGGGACATCATCCTAACTTGATTGTCAACACAAAAACCAGATCTTGGGACGATATTTTTCTGCTAACGTAACGTTAGAAGTTCTGTTCTTTATTATTAGAATGTTTCTATAGCTAGATTCTAGCTAGAGTTCGACTGTGAATGTCTGGTTTTCTATAGTCTATTATCTATAGTTTCGTTACGACTGGTGCTGTGGACAGTTTTGATTAAATCACAAGAAATGTCACTGGTAAATCGTGACTGTGAAATAAAAATTATAGAATTAAGGAAGAAAAAGATCAAGAGACTTTCCAGTGCAACACTAACCATTTACACTTGCTTATAAAATTCCAAACTGTTCCTATTAACATTTTATCTACCAGTTTATTTACGATTTTATATTCTAACATTGTTTCATTCATTCTTGAGAACTTATGCATTACACCTAATATATTAAAAGTCTTATTTGTTTCCTCAATTTAAGCATTGCAAGTAGCCAACCAACGATATAGTCAGCCCTTTGGCCTACAATTACGAGTGAGACTCGTAGTATGGAATTTGGGCCATAAACAATAAGCACGAATCTGACTCGTAGTACTTTGTTTGGTCTTCCTACCTTCTTGTTTACTATGAACAAGAATAATCGAAAGATAACGTGTAGGTCAAGAAGATAATAGGTTGTAGTAGGTAGACGCCGATATTAAAAAGCCTATGAATACGCTCTCAGTAGACGAAGCGTTAATAATATTAAAAATTGTTGCGGTAGTTTTAACCGAAGAGCGTGAAACAACCGGGTGCGTCTGACCCATGGTTAGCTTTCAAGGTTCAAACCCTGCCCTAACCATCGATCCTTGAACTCGTACTTCTCGTTCAGTTTCAGTCTAAATATTAAGTGTAGGAATTAATACAGTGCCTGTGTATATTCAATCATTTATAACTCTAGTTGAAATAGAAATATTCACTCGTCATTTTGTTATGTTAAAGTATCAATCTTTCAAGTTCTCGATATGATCTTCATTGCAACGAATCACGGTAGCCATACAATTTTGCTTATTATTCTTCTTCTAACAGGTATCGAGTGTACTTGTTAATTATAATAATTGTAGAAGAAGAAGAATAATCGAAATTTTATGCCCACTAACATTTATTGGGTTGATTCGTAAATAACTTCCACTGCAGGTAACAAATAATCATACTTTCGAAGAACCTCCTACAGGTAGAAATGTTTTAATTGCCTGTTAAATAACTAAGATATATTATATAATAACATTGTTGAAAATAATTGTTAATAGAGAATCTGAAGTTATTTATGAATCAGTCCAATACACAGATGCATTATAATAGTCATCAGGTTGAGAATTTATTCATTCTAATAGAAATCAAATTGAGGACTTAGTAGGTTGCACTGTGATATACCAAAGTGACAAGTAAGTACATCTGTTTAAGGTTACAAATGATTGAATATTAAACCAAAAAATTAATTTCTGGATCTAGCACATATAATCAACAACCGACGGACACTACAGTGTCCTATAGCGTTTATATCGGAATTTCTATTCGCGAGTGGCATAATCCAGCTTCTGACAGCTACGTGCCTTCCCGGTCCGAACTCAACGCGATCCGTAACGGGGAAGAAAAGTCCGTCGTCTACGCTGGTAAGCAGGCCGACGTGGAATACGCGAGCAGATATGTATCCCAGTGGTCTGAATCGATAGCCCACCGAAACTATTACGCAGACATCTACCGCGTGTGCGGGTGGTCTGTTCGAACCTCGCGGTCTTTCGAATAACTGAAGTTGTCAGCCGCAACTGGGGAAGAGGCGCACACGCGCGCGCGTCACGCCTAACCGAAAACACGGGGCTGGTTCTTGAAGAATCATCAGCGTCTTCGTGACCCCGCGCGGACGGCGGTTGAAGTTAATCAACGCGAAGCCCCCCTGGTACGCCTAAAATACCGCACTGTAAATCAATAGATGCGCAGCTGACTCTACGGGTAGCTAGGCACAGGGATTTAATTAATGATCTATAATCCTATATCTCGATTACATATTTGCCAGTGGATAGCCATACGTGCCAGCCACCCAGGGCCGGGAAATTGGTCGATAAACGGCTTTAATGGACGACAAAACGAGGTCTGAGAGAAAAGTATCCGACCTTTGTTCGTAAAAAATAATCGTATTCAGGTACGACAACGTTAAGTCAATCTTCTAAAAAGTAGTCCTCTTGAGCTACCACGCACTTCTCCCAAACGATTCTGTCGGTGTTGGTGACAGTGCTGAAATGGTTCTTTTGAGGTTGTACGTAGTTGGTCTTAAGGTTCTCTGAACTTAAATCTGGTTACTTTCAGTCAAAGAAGATATAAGTTACAGTGGAATAGGTAGCCTAAAAGATAGTTTACCCTTATAAGTGCTGACTGGAAAATAGAGAAAGTAAATAAGTAATTCTGTTAAAAGAAAACATTGTTGAAACAGTCGTACCAAAATTCTAATGAGAACAAGATATTAAGCGTAGAAATTCGGTGCTACACATTTATAATTATATTTTACGTAGAACTCGTCATTTTATTTCACAGTACCAACCTTCAAGGGGTATGGCGTAATGTGTAGACTGCGGATTTTATGCACTTGTGACGTACAGTATAGAAAACCTTCCAACAAAATACATAATACATTTTTAAAAAATTCTATGACTAATATAATAATAATATTATTTCATTTTGTATAAGTACATGTACCTTCCTTTTTCTTTAGCAAGTATTTAGTACATTAGTTTTATATGTTTATTTATTTATTGTCGCACCAGCTTGTAAGCTATTAACGATCACTGTGAGTTACATGTTCAACATTTATATTCATATGTGAGTCGTAACATAATTAAAATAAATACGGAATGAGTTATGGGTAAAATAACTAATTCTTGAATCTAACTGTAATTATAAATACTGTTTAGCATTAAACGTATATTTTAGAAGTTTGTAGTGTCTTGTTAATGTTTATAGTATATATCATAAATGCATAAAATCCCCAGTCTACCAATGTATTTATTTAAAAAAGAACATTTTCAATGTGCTACGAGTGGATGTTGGTCCACAGTGTCGCGTAGAGCATTTATGCGTTCCGCGTTTTGGACCATTCCGGCTCAAGTACGATTCCTCCCATTCCCACGTGCCCAGAGACCACGTACACGCGAGACATCTATCTTTGACACGGCACCGCCCGACAATACGTAGCTGAGAGAGGGTGTACAGAGCATCCCCATCACCCGCTGTCTGGATGCACGTTCGTGATTGCATGTAAATGAGCGGAAACATGCAGCTACGTTGCATGCCCAGACGTACGGCACACCAGCAGGCGCGCGCTCTTTCAATGATCACAATGACGCTACCCCTCTGTGACTCGAAGACGACGACAAGGCGCAGTCTCGCGCCCTAATGGACGCCGCGTGTTTAACGTCGCGTTTAAAAATTCATTTATCGAGCGATCA